CCCCAGTGTATGTGGCTGGCGCCCTAGCCACTAAGCTACAGGTGCCAAGCCTCCAGGATGGTGTTCCTAGCCTCAAACAATGCTCCCAGCTCAGCCTTCCAAAATGCTAGGAGTACAGATGTGAGCCACTGATCCAAGCTGTTTATAAGTTATAAACATGCTTAGAATGTCAATATGAACATAGCAGGGATGCCTTTTCCCCATGGGAGGGTTGGGAGGAATGAGAGAGCTGTGGGCTTATTTTCTGTCACTGCTGTTCGCTTGTTGTTAATGTTTGTGTTGTCAGCAGCAAGTGTGTGGGCCCAGTTCCGGGATGGAGCAGAGTCAGGGCTAGGTGCCTGGTGCAGATGGAGGAGGGAGCCCACAGCTGGGCTGCAAAATGTGTGAGAGGGAAGTGAAAAAGTATACAAAAAAGTATCACTGTCTATATATATCCCACCCCTGTCACCTTCCTGGAAAACTCCACGTGGCTATCCCTGGTCACAGACACCACCCTCAGTGCACAAATGAGCTGGGAACGCTGGCATCAGGCAGGCTTGTCCCCTGGTGAGATGATGCCCTCCTGCCTCAGCAAAACATTCTGGAAAACAGCTAGAGCTGTGAAAGTTAGATTTGGGGCTGTAATCCAGGCTCTTCTCTGTTGCAAGTGGCTCACGGTAAACAGGCTGAGATGAGGATGTAGGTAAGAGAGGGCAGAGTCACAGTGGGGAGACACCTGAGAGTAGTGATGAGGGAGTGGCCTGTGCCGTATGCTGGTGTCACAGGCTACCCCCACCCCCACCCCCCAAGATGCTGGTCCGGCAACTAAGGAAAGGGGGCAGAGTGAACAATTTTGAGAAATGTTTAACTCCAAAGCGAGAAGAGGGGAGGGCCTGGTTTGGGGGGCAGGGGATAACAGGAGTGGGCAAGGCCTGTCTGCAGATAAGCCTCAGGTGGGCAGGGAGAAGATCCCAAGATTTCGTTCCAGGGGCTGGGAAAATGTAGCCCACTTGAACCTGTTTTGGAATCGCCCAGAGGGCTCGTAAACCACAGATCTCCCGATTTACCTGCAGTGAATCTGAAACGTACAGATCTTAATGGACCCAGATACATTTTGACAAATGCGTACCTATGTTACCATTATCCAAATCGAGATAAAGAATTTCCTTTATCCCAGAAAATGCCTTCATGCTTTTTATTAGGCCGTCCCTCCCCTCACAACAACTGACGCTGGTTTGTAGCACTATAGACTTGTTCTGCTTGTTGTGACCTCTTGTATTTTTTAAGTTAAAATCACCATTTATTTGAATGGGTCAGATTCACATGAATGAACATTATTATGGTCTTTTGAAGGTGTCATTGTATTGTGCTTTAAAAGATCTTTTTTTTTTTTTTTTTTTTTTGAGACAGAGCCTCAAGCTGTCCCCCTGGGTAGAGTGCCGTGGCATTACAGCTCATAGCAACCTCCAACTCCTGGGCTCAAGCGAGTCTCCTGCCTCTACCTCCCAAGTAGCTGGGACCACAGGCACCCGCCACAACGCCCGGCTATTTTTTGGTTGCAGCCGTCATTGTTGTTTTTGGCGGGTCCGGGCTGGGGATTCAAACCCACCACCTTAGGTGTACGTGGCTGGCACCTTAGCCGGTTGAGCTATAGGCGCCGAGCTGCTTTAAAAGATCTTAATCCTGAAAACTTTCTTTTGCAGAAGATGAAAAGACAACCAAGAAACATCGTAAGTTACGCCTTTTTGCATCTCTGTCTCTGGAGACTGCCTGTGCACGGCGCTAGATGCTGGCAGGGAGCGTTGGCCTGTCTCCTCTGGGTTCTGTGATGGGGCTGAGTTTTATGTTCTATTCTGTATATTCTGTATATATAAGACCCAAAAGATGGCGTTGCCCTGTCTGGACTCCCCTTTGTTGCCCTGGCTGGTCGGGGGTGTGCTTGTTGGAAGTGGCTCTTGCCATTCAGCTTGGTGGGAGTAGAGACCACCGTCTGCTCTTGTCACCTTGCCAAGTCACATTTTTCCTCATCCCCGGCAGCTCCCACTGGGAAAACTACCAAGGTTCCCACCTTCGGAGCCCCAGAAGAGTTAGTGGATTTTAAACAAGTGGACCAGGAGGGTGAGTTACCGTGGGCAAGGGACACTGGAGTGTTGACTCTGAGTTTGTCCTGAAAGTTGCTCTGTTTCCTCTCCCAGCTGCAGCCAAAGCCTCCACCCCGAAGCCGAACTCAGAGGCACTAAAGGCCACGGTGCTGGGGAACTTCCTAGCCAAGTCCAGACCCGAGCTCCTTGAGTGTGAGTAGTGTGGCAGCTGGCGCGAGGTTCTGCAGGCCTCCACACCTCTGGTGCAGTGGGCACGGCTCCTCGCCCTCGGCCAGCTGTGTGGCTGCACCTGCCCTCTGCAGAGTGGCTCCCTCATTTCCTCCCTTTCCTCATCTCTTTTCCTAGCTAGTTCAGACCCCACAGTCAGGCGTTTGTCCCTCTTTTGGTCCAGTCTGGCTGGACCGAGCTCACCGCTTCTCTCTGGGCTGGTGCTGGTAGGTGCTGGTAGCCAACTGCAGTTGGGGCGATTGTGGTCACCCATCGCTGGCACGTTTCCTCTGCTGACCCTCCCACTCCTGCCACCCCAGAGCCGCCATTTCCCAGCCTTCCCACTGGCCATAACGCCAGTCTTCTCTTTGTCCTGCCCACCCTTGGCTTCACGGAGTAGAGAAACAACCCAGAAGGAACCCCCTCAGCCTCTGTCCCCTCCCCTGCACCTGCCACCCTTCCTCTCACGTCTGCACTGGACTCAGGGGCCTGCTCCTCCTGCCCTCTCTGGAATCTTCCACTCCCGGTTAGATTTCTCACTCCAGTCTCTTTGCCCTCGTTGTCTCTACAGGGGCCTGCCCATTCCATGTGGCATGTATAAATTTCTCTAAATCACAAAAACAAAAATTGGTAGAACCAGACGACTTTCTGGGCTGCAACTCTGTATCTCACCTCCCCATCACTGAACACTTACTGTTTGTTTTGTTTTTTGAGACAGAGTCTCACTTTGTCACCCTGGTTAGAGTGCCATAGCATCCTAGCTCACTACAACCTCAAACTCTTGGGCTCAAGAGATCCTCTTGCCTTAGTTTCCCAAGTAGCTGGGACTACACAGTCACCTGCCACAACGCCTGGCTGTTTTTAGTAGAGATGGGGTCTCGCTCTTGCTCAGGCTGTTCTCAAACTCTTGAGTTCAGGTGATCCATCCCCCTCAGCCTCACAGAGAGCTAGGATTATAGGTATGAGCCAGCTTGCTGGCTGAACACTTGTTAACAATGCAAATTCCTGGCCCCTGCTCCAGTCCTACAAGGTCAGACTCAGGGCCAGTGTATTTCACTCATTTCTTTGGTGATCCTCGTGAGGCAGGTTGGGGAAATGCAGCTCTGCAGATTGTCTCCCTTGCGGGTTTTCAACTGCAGCTGTCTGCTGGAATCTCTTGGGGAGCTTTGTCAAATCCCCGATGTCCACACTACACCCCAGACTACTTTAGTCAGAGTCTCAGTGTTTTTTTTAAAGCAGCCTAGGGGTTGCAGCATGTGGCTGAGGTGAGAAGCAGAAACCCAGTCCTCACCCTGCACAGTCGGACCTCTCCCCCTGCTCTAGACCGAGGCAGCTCTTGCTGAGGTTAGTAGTGGCCTCTGCACCATGAAATCCAAAGGACATCTTTTAGCTTTTATTTAGCTTCACCTTGTGACACTTTCTCCTCTGGCCTCTGAGTCACCACACCCCCATCCATCCCTGTAGTTGCTTCTCAGCTCCTTTGCAAGCTGTACCCCCACTGTCTGACCTGACAGTGGGTGGAGTTCCTTCTTCAGAGCCAGGCCCAGGCCCTCCCACCATCCCAGAGCATCACCTGTGAGCCCTTCACTACCTACCTCCATGCAGTGGCCCAAATGCACCACTGAAATAGGCATTTCTGGCTGTTCCTTTCTCTGCAGCTGCAGAAGACTTGGTGGGGATCTTTAGGTTTCTCAAGGTGGGGCTCCCCAGAGCCCTTTACTGTCCTTGGCCTCTCCATAAGACTCTGACCAGTATGGGGATAGAGCTGACTGTCACCCAAGCTGCTTGCAGTGATGCTGTGTGTTTCAGTTTGTGGCAGTTTTTCTCTCCTGGACCCTGAGCCACCGCACCCCCTGGGTCTCCATCCAGTCCTCTAGTCGCTTCTCCTCTAGTTGCAGAAAAAGCAACTTAGGACCTTTGAGGACATTTTCCCCGGCCTATTCATTTCACCCTGGGGAAGCTGAGGCTTCAGTGAAAACCATTGTGTCCTGAGCCACCTAGCAAGGGAGTATTAAATGGTGATGAAAATCCAGGTCTCTTGGCTCCCAAGTTCCCAAGCTAGGGATTGTCTCTCTCTGCCATGCTGCCCCTGTAGCCCATGGATGGGTCCAGGACCACCTATGAGGGGAGGGGCGGAGATGCTGTGTCTAAGGGAGAAGGCTGAGTGCGGGGACCACAGCTTCAGAGCTCCTGGAGCTGGTTGAAGTGGCAGGAGAGCTAGAAAGGATGTGCTAGCATCCCAAGCAAGGATGCGTTCAGGCCACTGCTATCCTTAGAGGCCTTGACTGGCTCCCTGCTGACCCCAATGAAAGTCTAGACCTGTAGCCCTTTCCGCTGTGGCCCTAACACGCTCCTCCCCTCCCCTGCTGCTGCATCTACCCAGCCTGGCCTGGTGTTGGCACATGGCCACCATCCTGGGACTCCGTGGCTTCCCCTACATGTTCCCTTTGCCTGGAGTAGCCTGTCTTTCCCGTGTTCTCCTCTGTCTAGCTCTTCTAGTCTTCTGTTACCTGGTTCCCATTTTTAGCCTGCCTGAGAAATGCTCCCCTGGGCTCTCCCTTTCCCTTGTGTGCCTACAGCTGTGCCCACCCTCTTAGCAAAGCATGGGCCTCACAGTGCTGGACTTGCCTTGCTTGTTGGAGTATCAGCTCCATAAAGCCAGGCACCTTGTATCTCTGACTCAGGTGCTCAGTTTTGGATAGGTGAATGGACAGACTAATAGATGACTGATAAATGGATAGATGGTTGGCTGGCGGGCTGGCTGGAAAAAACGGATGGATGGATGGTTAGACGGATGAGTAAGTGGAAGGATGGATGGGCAGACAGAAAGCACATGGATGGATGGATGGGCAGATAAGTGGGTAGATGGATGAGTTGGTGGAAGGATAGATGGACGGATGGATGAGTGAGTGGGTGGAAGAATGGATGGACAGATGATTAGATAGATGAATAGATAGATGGATGGGTGGATTGATGGGTGGGTGGGTGGCTGGAAGGATAGGTGAATGGGTGGGTGGGTAGATGGATAGATAAAACAAGTGAATAAATAGTTCCAGTTTATGAGAGGTCTGCAAGTGGGCTCCTTATAACTGATTCCTTGGGGTGGTGTTTCCTCAGATCATATTAAAGTCATCCTGGACTACAACACTGCCCACAGCAAGGTGGCCCTGTCAGAGAACTACTCCGTAGCTTCTGTGGCTGACACACCGCAGAGCTATCGGCCACATCCCCAGAGGTTCACATCCTGCTCTCAGGTGCTGGGCCTGCACTGCTATAAGAAAGGGATCCATTACTGGGAGGTGGAGATGCAGAAGAACAACTTCTGCGGGGTCGGCATCTGCTACGGCAGCATGGAGCGGAAGGGCCCCGAGAGCAGGCTCGGCCGCAACAATGCTTCCTGGTGCGTGGAGTGGTTCAACACCAAGATCTCTGCCTGGCACAACAACGTGGAGAAAACTCTGCCCTCCACCAAGGCCACGCGGGTCGGTGTGCTTCTCAACTGTGACCACGGCTTCATCATCTTCTTTGCCGTTGCTGACAAGGTCCACCTGTTGTATAAGTACAAGGTGGATTTTACTGAAGCGGTGTACCCGGGCTTCTGGGTGTTCTCTGCGGGCGCCACGCTCACCATCTGCAACCCCAGCTAGGTAGGCTGCAGACACTCAGGTTGATGCCTGTGGATACCCGGGACTTTTCTGAAAATGCCACAGGTGGAACTTTCCTCAGAGAACTTCCCTAAGAGTCCCCAAGGGTTGGAAGGGTGGTACCGGAGCTGGTGGGAGGGTGAGGATATGGGATAAGAGGAGGGATGCCTCCTAGAGCCAGTCAGGGCAGGCTGGCCTCCTCCCATGGGTCTGGGAAATCTCCAGGCTGCTGGGCATGGAAAGTGGGAAGTCAGGAGTGCCCTTTTCCTCTTAGAGGAAATCTGTAGTCACTCACCTTCTCTCTCAGGCCACTTGGTATCTGCCCTTTGCTCTTGGGGTAGACTTCAGATACTGGAATTTTGATAACTTTCCATAGGTGTTTTTGAAATTTCAAAGCTGCCACTGCCCCCATACCAGGGCTCATTCCCTGGTTATTGTCTGCTCCAGGTAACTGCCCACAGCAAGTGTCTACCCAGACCAGAGATTCTTTAAGAAGCATGTCCTCCTCCTCCTTCCCCAGAAAATAGTACCGTTCCCTCCCATCCTGCTTGCCCCATTGATAGTTTTAAAATTTTTCTTCAAACAGGAACTTTGCAAGCTAAGCCTTCAAAGGCTGAATTTGTGATTCAATGTCAAGTTGAACCCAGGTCTGGTTTGGATGAAAATCCTCCCCATAGCCAAGTGCTATATGAGAGGCATCTTGGTGGAGGTACTTGGGGGCAGGTGCAAACTCTGTTGGAGGCCTTGCTCCATAGCTGAGACCATGGGGCCAGGAGCTCTGCAGGGCAAGTCCCCCTGGCAGAAGCACCGTCTGGTGGGTTTGCTCGTGTTATAGTACCTTGCTTTTCACTGACAGCTCTCCTCAGCTATAGCGCCCTTGTCCTGTCTCCTGGATTGTAAGGTGTTGGGTGGTGGATGACAGATGATACCATTGCAGTTGTCACAGTCAGGCAGCCAGCAAGGCTGGGTATCTGAAGCCGGCTGTCATGCAAACAGGCTGTGTGGCTGCCTCAGGGGCCGTACTTGGTTACCTGATTGGATGATTAGCTATATCCCAAAGGGTCTTTTAGCAAACCCCATGGGAAACAGCAGCATTCCTGTTCATCCCTGACTGGCCCTGGCATGAGCCAGAGGCCTGGGGCTGGCCCAAGCCCTTGCTTATATCTTCCTCATTCAGGCCAATTCCAGATCCTTACATTGACCAGGTGAGAGGTCAGGACTTTCAAGGATCAGAGAAGGAATGAGCTAAAGAGACAAGTGGCTATTTTCTGTGCAATGTTTCTGTGCGGTGAAAATAACCCAGTCCGTGATGGGGCAGGAGTGAAGGGATTGCTGGACTTGCCCAAAGCTCCCTGTAGCCTGAGGTCAGGACAAAAGCCTGAGAAACTTAACCTCGTGTAGTTTGAGCCCAGCTCTGGGCTTTGCCAAGAGGAGAGCTCCCCTCAGGCTTTTTATAATATGAAAATAGGTCACTGTTGGGAAGCAGGGGTCCCAGGCCATCTCATATGGATATTTGAGAACTTACCCCGTCTCAGGCCTTGTGCTGGAATCCCAGGGCACTCTAGTTGGGCTCACAGCATTTTATATTACTGACATACAGGTATATACCTGAGCAAGTTCTCATTGGGAGAACTTCTAGTTCCTTGGGGGAGAATCTTTGCAGGGAAGACATTCCTGCAATAGCAAAGTTTTCTTTCTTTGCTACTTGGGAGAAATGTTCTTTGGTAATTCTCCTCTGCTTTTGAAGATGGACAAAATTATCTTCACTGATTTTCTGAAACAAAAGCCTTGTCTGAAGGCAATTACACGGGAAACAGCAGGGCTTAGAGGAATAGAATACCAAAGATAAATTCTCTTCTGCGGAAATGAGGGCTTCAGGGAGATTTTTTTTCCCTAGGCAGACATGCAGCTCTGGTGAGGGAAGCAGGAACCCCTCTCTTGAGGAGAGGGTCAAGTAGGTGACCCAAAGGAAGCTCTGTGCAAGGTGCTGTGGAGCTGGGAGTAGAGGGGCGCACCTTGCTGTCTGGAGCCATTCCTTTTGCAGCGGTTAGGACCTCACGTAACCCAGCCTCGCAGGGCTGCCTCACAACCCTGGAGTCCTAGAATCGGAGGCACTTGGGTATCCATCTGACTTCTCATTTTGCAGAATGAGAGGAAGAGGGAGAGGATCACTCTGTTCACCCCAGGAGGAGATGCCTTGTAGCACGTGTGAAGGGAGAACCTTGGTCCCCTGGGGAAGTACCAGGAATCCGCAGAAACACAATCATAATACAATCCTGGACCCAGAGCCGGGGGATTGTCAGAGTTACCGTGGCGTGATAAACCAAAGATTAGGGTCAAACCTTTGGACCTTCAGGACAGGGTGGCAAATTATTTCTGTTTTAATTATTCCAAAATCATTCTGCGATCTGTAATACTAATATATTGTCTTTTACCTCATTTCCCCTCTCGCTATTGATGTTAATTAGGAGTATTTGAGCAATTATTTTTGAGCTTTTTTTTTTCTACAGTTGATTCTTACGGCAGCACCTGTAGCTCAGTAGGTAGGGCACCAGCCACATACACTGAGGCTGGTGGGTTCTAACCCAGCCAGGGCCAGCTAAAATCAACAATGACAACTGCAACAAAAAAAATGGCCAGGCATTGTGGCGGGCGCCTGTAGTCCCTGCAACTTGGGAGGCTGAGGCAAGAGAATCACTTAAGCCCAAGAATTTGAGGTTGCTGTGAGCTTTGATGCCATGGCACTCTACCAAGGGCGACACAGACTCTGTCTCAAAAAAGAAAAAAAAAGAGTTGATTCTTAAAGGTGATAATCACAGCCATAGACAGGTCTGGGGCTGCCTGATGTGCCTTGAAAGATTTGAACGCCATAAAGCGATGTTTAGCATTCTCTCCTGCATTGCTGAGCAGGTAGAAAATGTTCCATGTTCGTCATGCTGATGTCAACAGGCAAGTTGCCTGCTACAGAAGGCTGCTGCTTAGGCCCCACCCAGGTGCTCCCGAGGGTTGAAATTTCAGCAGACTTTTAGCCCATTTAGACCTGTGATGGGTACAGTGCTTCCTCAGGAAGCTGTCGATAAAAAATTCTCAGACTGATAGAATGTCTGTCTGGGCTTTACATTAGAAGGATCCAAGGGCAGGGCGTAGAGAAGGGGATGAAGGGTAAACGGCACACTGGTAGTTGGAACAGCGATGGAGACGTGAGGGCTTGTTATTTCTGCCACTGCACATGTTGATAATTTCTATAATAGAAAGTTTTAAAATGAAACAAAAACAGCCCAGGACAGCACAGGCCCTGTTCTATGAATTTTATCCTTGGAATTGGGGTAGGAGTTGCCAGAGGCATGGATGGAAGCTGTCTGGCCTTTGTTTTTGGTTCGTGGGGAAGACTTTCCCAAATAAGAGGAGCATCTTTGTGGCTGGGTGCAGTGGCTCACCCCTGTAATCCTAACAGTCTGGGAGGCCAAGGCAGGTGGATCGCTTGTGCTCAGGAGTCAAGACCAGCCTGAGCAAGAGTGAGACCCTGTCTTTGAAACTAGCAGGGAGTTGTGGTGGGCATCTGTAGTCCCAGCTCCTTGAGACACTAAGGCAAGAACATCACGTGAGCCCAAGAGTTTGAGGTTGCTGTGAGTTACGGTGCAACAGCACTCTACCCAGGGCCACAAAGTGAAAAACTCTTGTCTTTAAAAAAAAAAAAAAGCATTGTTATTCATGATCCCCTGGGATCATGAGTTTATGCTAAGAGGTGAGAAGACTCAGGATGGGGGCTGGTCACCAGGAAGACCAACCTTGGCATTAGAGGGCTAAAGCTTTGCTTCAGCCTGACCTATGGAGAAGGAAGCTGGAGATTGAGTTGAGTCCCGTGGCTGGTGATACAATCAATATATAGTGAAACCCCAATAAAAACTCTGGATACTCAAGCTTGATGTAGCTTCCTGGTTGGTGAACACATCAGTGTACTGGGAGGGTGACACGCCCCATTCCTCTGGTGAAACACATAAGCCGTGTGTTTGAGACCTTCCCTATGTCTCTTCATTCGGCTGGTCCTGATTTGTGCCCTTTATAATAAAACTCTAATCATAAATATAGTGTTGTCCTGACTTTTATGACTTTTCAGTGAATTACTGAACCTGAGGGGAGGTCACAGTAACCTGCATTTGTAGTCAGAAGTGTGGGTGACCTGGGGTCCACAAAGCAGGCCTGTATCTGAAGTGGGGGCAACCCTGTTGGGGTCTGTGTCCCTTAAGTTGGGATGTCTGGTCAAACATCCCTTGGTAGCACACCAAGCAGTGTCAGAGCAGAGGTGGGGGCCTGCAAACCTTGAATAATGCTTCTCTCCCAACCTGTCGGAAGAAAACCTTGCTCTTCGCAGGAGCATCTCAAGTTTCTTGCCTCCTGTACGAAGTCCCCTGGGTTCAACATCTAGGGTTTTTGTTCTCCCTCATCACCCCCTCTTACAGTTTCTTCTTCCCCAGTGTCCCTGTGACCACAAAAATACTCAGTAAATCAGTTAGACTTGCCCTTTCTTTCAGAGATGACACTTCAGGTGTCATGGGGCCACTCTTGTTCCAGTAAAAACTTCAGGGTGGTCATTTGTGACTCGGTAAAGAAAAAGCAACGTGAGAGAGTGTGTATGTGTGTGTGCACACAGGGTGTGGTGGTGGTTTTGAGTTGCTTGTGGTCTGCTGGAGTGACCTTGGGTTACTGTTGGACTCACTCGTGGCACATCTCACCAGCTCCCCAGTGCTCTTGGAATGTCAGAGCGTAGTGGTGGCTGGATCCCCAGCTGTTACTGACCTTGGACTGGTAGTCTACCTGCATTTCATGATGGATTAGTCTTAGGACATTAAACCCAGCAGGCTTTTAAAAAGCAGGTCTAGGAGTGGGAATGGAAGGGGTACAATAAGAAAGCCTAGTTGACGGGGTGATTTGGAATGAATGCACATAAGAATGAAATGGCCCCTTTGTGGTGCCTGCATGCGGGCCTTGACGCAGCTCTTTGCCATCCCTGTCATGGAGTTGAGCTCCATGTAGCTTCCTTCAGAAGTTCCGTATCCTGCAAGCTCGTTCTACAGTCCCCTCTCCAGGTAGGTCTGTGCCCCCTGTTCTCCGACCATTGCTTCTAGGCAGCTCCAGCTTTGAGGGCAAAAGTTGGCTAAGTCCTCCCCAAAGCGATAGCAAGACCCTCTCCTGAGCTCTGTGAGCCAAACATGTCCCCAAATATATTCCAGTTCAGACCAGAAAAGTGGCTAAATCATCTTGATGCGCTTCTGCTTATTTCCATGTTTAACAACATAAAGAAAAATGCACTTACACTCCCTGGCAGTGATTTTCAACTGCTGTACCATGAGAGGATCTTAGGTGTGCTACAGAAATTTTCAAAGATCATTAATTATTTTTGAGAGTTCGAAGCACAGTAAGTATATTCTTTTTTTCTTTTTGATGATCAATATAATTTAAGTGTGCCGTGAGATAAACAAGGTTGAAAAACACTACTTTACGAGATCGTTGAGTATTACTGTGAGCAACTTACTGCCACTGGTAGCTACTCTAGAGTAGTACTCAGTGAACTTGGATTTGAGACCTGGGTTTTTGTTTTTTTTTTTTCCCTTGAGTCAGAGTCTCACTCTGTCACCCTGGGTAGAGTTCCATGGCCTCATAGCTCACAACAACTTCAAACTCTTGGGCTCAAGTGATCCTCTTGCCTCAGCCTCCTCAGTAGCTAGGACTACAGGCACCTGCCACAATGCCTGGCTAGTTTTTCTATTTTTAGTAGAGACCTGGTTTTACTCTTGCTTGGGCTGGTCTTGAACTCCTGAGCTCAGGCAGTCTCACCTACCTAGGCCTCTTAGAGTGCTGGGGTTACAGGAGTGAGCCACTGTGCCTGACATTATTATTATATTATTTCAGTAAAGGTTTTCACTCTGTTGCTCCAGATTAGAGTGCTGTGGTATCATAGCTCACAGCAACCTCAAACTCCTGGGCTGAAGGGCTCCTCTTACCTCAGCCTCCCAAGTATCTGAGACTATACGTGTGTGCTACCACACTCAGCTAGTTTTTCTATTTTTAGTAGAGATGTCTCACTCTTGGTCAGACTGGTTTCAAATTTGTGAACTCAAGCAATCCACCTGCCTTCGCCTCCCAGAATGTGAGGATTACAGGCATGAGACACCACACCCAATTTTATTGTATTATTATTATTTTTGAGACAGACTCTCACTATGTTGCCCTCAGTAGAGTGCTATGGTGTCATAGCTCACAGCAACCTCAAACTCTTGGGTTTAAGGGATCCTCTTGCCTCAGCCTCCCAAGTAGCTGGGACTACAGGCACCCACCACAGTCTGGCTATTTTGTTGTTGTAGTGGTCATTGTTGTTTCAGCAGGCCCAGGCTAGGTTCAAACCCTGCAGCCTCGGTGTATGTGGCCGACACCCTATCCACTGAGCTATGGGTGCTGAGCCTATGGCACCTGGTCTTGTCTTACTCTTGAGGATAGGGAAATGTTCATATAAAAAAATACTATAATTTGGGCGGTGCCTGTGGCTCAGTAGGGCACCAGCCCCATATCCTGAGAGTGGCGGGTTCAAACCTGGCCCTGGCCAAACTGCAACAATGACAAAAAAATAGCCAGGTGTTGTGGCGGGCGTCTATAGTCTCAGCTACTCGGGAGGCTGAGGCAAGAAAATTGCCTAAGCTCAAGAGCTGGAGGTTGCTGTGAACTGTGACATCACAGCATTCTATCGAGGGTGACAAAGTAAGACTCTCTCTTAAAAAAAAAACAAACAAAAGACTATAATTTTATATTCTTCCTTCTTTACATAAAAGATTCACAGATAAAAATATTTGACCTTCAAAACCCATATCCTTTTATTTATTAATACTGGATTATTACTCTTTTTTTTTGAGACAGTCTCACTCTGTTGCCTCAGACTAGAGTACTGTGGTGTTACAGCTCACAGCACCTTCAAATTCCTGGGTTCAAGTGATCCCCCTGCCTCAGCCTCCTGAGTAGCTGGGACTACATATGTGCACCACCATGCCCAGCTAATTTTTCTATTTTTAGTAGACTTGGGGTCTCACTCTTGCTCAGGCTGGTCTCGTACTCCTGAGCTCAACGATCCACCTGCCTCAGCCTCCCAAAGTGCTAGAATGACAGATATGAGTCTCCAAGTCTGGCTAATAATATTGGATAGTAATCACACTTTGATGCTATTGGGACCACCAGATATAACCACCCTTGACATGACACAAAAAGGAGCCCGTGTCATGTGTGGAGAGTACAGAGACGAAATTCTTAGAATGCCAAACCAAATCCATGCTTATTTAACCGAAAATAACTTCCTTTTTAAAGAAAAGCTCAGAAACTCATCATTCTATTTTATAAAGCACTCACTGCTTATCTGTAAGAAATGACTATTAAAGTACTGTCAGTAGGACCTTTTAGGTGGGGCAGTTTCTGTTTCGCTTTCCCTTTCCTATTCCTAATGACTCATGCTAAGACACTATGCTTTACGTTTGTTTACTGTGCCTCAGGTC